CAATTTGTGTAAAAATGAAATTCAAGTAACTCTATGTTCATGTTTAATGATGGAGAGTTGTATTTTGTATCGTTGAAACATTTGAACTCCATATCAAACACCTCATAAAGTATGGTTGGTGGAGTTGTGGAACCAGTTGATCGAATTGATGGGATTTCGTGAAAGTTGTTAATGGATTTATTCTAAACATTTTTCAGATTCTTTTATATTATTCAAACCTATTAAAATGCTATTAATTAGCCAAAATTTTCATAATGCATCAAAATATTAGCCTTTTTTACGTTATCGTTAATAATTTTTATAAATTTTTTCTTAGTTAAAATACTAAAATTTCGGAATGTTGACCTTCATGTATCTCTTCCAAGTCAGTATCATATTGCCAAGTCAATATTACTAACAAAATTACTAATTGAAAGTCAACATTTGGATAATTCTTAGTATTTTGATATGTTTGAATAATATAAAAGAATTTGAAAAAAAATTAAATAAAAAATAGACATTACTCTTAAATTAATATACTCCGGCGAAGTACCGGTAACATTCATGGCAAGCTAGGTTTGCAGAGTATCACTAGTGCATAGAACCCATGCTAGGTTTAGGCTAAGCTGCATAGATTTGAGCATTTCATGGTGTCATGTTAGGGCCGTTTAATAGATCGTGTAGCCTTGTTCCAAAATTGAGATATGGTACAAATTTACTTTTTAGCATACTAAACTTAAATAATTATATAATTGTTATTTGAAAATGTAATATATTTCTAACATTATTTAAAATAAAAATGTTTATAATCTCTCTAATTCATATTCTCAATGAGTTCATTTCCAATTAATTATCATTGCAATTCCATTAATTTTTGTGTATTGTTTTTTTAACACATAGGATTTTCGAAACACAAACACCAGTTTAACAATCAATATACATGTCTAGTGTATATATACATGAGAATATTGACCATTAATTAACTAGCACTAATATTAAGTAATATAGTTAAACTCGTCATCATACACATAATAAATTAATCATAAGCTATAAATACAACATACGATCCGATTAACTAACAAATCCATATCGAGGCACCCTGATATTCGGAGGCTATGTGCCGAAGGGCCTCCCGACACACTCTTTTGCCCGGCCTTGTGTCATATTTAAAGAGACTTTTTATTTTCTAGTTTTTTTAGTTGATTTCTATCTTCTTTGTTCTAATCTGAATTTTAAAAATGGGTGCATTATGTTCTACAAAGTGATGTTCAATTTTTTATACATTTCGAGAAAATAATTTTTTACCACGTATTACCACTCTAGTATCAATATGTATCACCTTCATTTTTAACATATATTTTAAAAATTCTTGCACATAAGGAATGAGGAGTAGATCCAGCCAGTAAGCAATATTTGGTTACTAATCGTGCACAATTTTTCTCAAATTAAATTTAAGTGGATATATCTTTCATTTTAAGTGATAATTAAAAAAAACATTGATTGCACAGAAAAATCAGGTTAATCTTGCTTTTCAAAATTACATCCACTTTGATATATATTTTAAAACAAAAAATCAATCATATATTACCATCCTATACCATTGTGGTGATGTTTGATAGTACGTAAGATTATACTAGTATAGAATGGTTGTATTCATGGTTATTAGGAACATTATTAACCATCATTTATAAAAGTGATATTATTTTGAAGAACATGGTTAATTAATATTAGTTTTCTATGCAAATTTTTTTGAATTCAGACTTAAAACAATAGAGACATAACTCATTAGATGTAAAACTATATAAAATCATAATAGAACCTGCATTAGTCAAGCTAACAATAAAAAAGATCACCTCTAAATTTATAAGATTATACCATAGTGGAATGAATATATCATGGTATAGAATGGTTGTATTCATGGTATTAGGAATATTATTAACCATCATTTATCAAAATGATATTAATTTGAAGAACATGATTAATATTAGTTTTCTATGCAATTTTTTTTAATTCAGACTTAAAACAAAAGAGACATAACCCATCCACCAAACATTCTACTATAGCTTTAAAAGCATCATTCATATTCAAGAGCACTCCCTCTAAATGCTGCTCAATGCAAAAGTGGATTAGACTAGAGGTTGTTTTGATGGGGGTTGGTGTTGAGGGATTTGGAGTCAAATTAAATCTCTCACTTGAAAAATCATATGTTTGGTTTGGTATGTTGATTTTAAGATAAATATTTTGTTTTTGTCAACAAATTTGGGTTTTTAATGAAAAAGGCCAAAATACAAAATTGCCCTTTCATCATCTTCGTCGTTTCTTCATCTTCTTCACCATGAATCCAGAATGCAAAATCATCGCTGACCATCACAACAAAAACATGAGCCAGCCATTGATCGGAATTGACGCTAGGTCAATCTTCCCCTCAAATTATAAGGCAAAAAGCTCTAGTCCGGCATCACCGCAAAGAAAACCAGTACCACCAACATGATCGACATCTACCTCGGCGGTCTAGGGTTCTCCCTCGTCATTGGCTGGAATCAACATCGATTTTCAAGCTTCCCCATGGATTCGGAGGCAAACTCTTGGTTTGACATCGTCGGAAAGGGAAAAAAAACGAAGAAGGAAGAAGGCTGGAGTTGGGTTTGTTTTGTAATAGAATATCTGCGAATGTGACATTTTGAAATAGCTGAGGGGGTCAGGTATTTCCGTGGAATTATAAAATGGCCGGAAAAAATCCCAAGTTACACATGTTTTTAAAAAAAATTCTCAAAATACACAAGTTATGAAAATAATTCCCAATCTACGTTAGTTTGGGCCATCACCGCTGTCGACGAAGACAGTGATTGCATCACTGTTGTCGACGAAGACAGTGATTGCATCACCGCTGTCGACGAAGACAGTGATTGCATCACCGCTGTCGACGAAGACAGTGATTGCATCACTGCAGTACACGGCCGCGGTGAAGGCCTGACCTGCATCGAAACTTTAAACAAACGTAACTTTGTGCTCGGTTATCCGATTGTAGCGAAATTTTTTTTGATTCCGCATAATTTTTCGAGATCTTGCAAGCCGCAAATTGCCGTAGGCGGTTTGGTCCCGCCTTCGTCTCGAAAAATATGTCGTTTGCTACCCCGAACGAGCCTTTTTCGATTTCGTCAAACTTTGAATGACCATAACTTTGTGCTCCACAATCCGAAAATCATGAAATTGTTTTTGATTTCGCATAACTTTTTAAGGACTACAATATTTAGTAGGAGATAATTTTCAAAAAATGAATTATTTATGGATATAAGGGGTTTTGGGAATAACTTTACCTTCCTTTTCAGGAATCCAAGTACATTCCGAAAATATGTCTATGATAAAAATTGTAGTCCTTAAAAAGTTATGCGAAATAAAAAAAAATTCATGATTTACGGATTGTGGAGCACAAAGTTATGGTAGTTCAAAGTTTGACGAAATCGAAAAAAGGCTCGTTCGGGGTAGCAAACGACATATTTTCGAGACGAAGGCGGGACCAAACCGCCTACGGCAATTTGCGGCTTGCAAGATCTCGAAAAATTATGCGGAATCAAAAAAAATTTCGCTACGATTGGATAACCGAGCACAAAGTTACGTTTGTTTAAAGTTTCGACGCAGGTCAGGCCTTCACCGCGGCCGTGTACTGCAGTGATGCAATCACTGTCTTCGTCGACAGCGGTGATGCAATCACTGTCTTCGTCGACAACAGTGATGCAATCACTGTCTTCGTCGACAGCGGTGATGGCCCAAACTAACGTAGATTGGGAATTATTTTCATAGCGTGTGTATTTTGAGAATTTTTTTTTAAAACATGTGTAACTTGGGATTTCCAAAATGGCCTTACAATTCTTAATTTATTTTGCCCTTTCAAAATGAGGGTTTTGGCCAAATCCTGCATATTGAGAGCTTCTGTTTGAAATCATACACAAAAAATCCCTTATTCGAACGACTACTAGTGAATAGAGAAGTCTCGAGCTATATTATAGATCATCATTAAAATTATAGAGGCTCAAACTTCTCATTGCATCATGCAACTTTGTTCCCACATAGACATTATAATGAACATTGATAACTTTTTTTTTTTATAAGGATGATGAACTTAATTAATTAAAACGGAAAGTTCAAAAGCAGGATCTCACAAGGCGTGAGAAACTGCTAAGGAAAAGATACAAAGACAAATGAAAAGTAGAAAAGAGCACTTCTATTATGCTATATAGCATTAGTGCTTTAATGTACAACTCAAAGTTGTACCATAACATTGAATGTATAAGTTTAGGTTGTACCATAAAGCAATTTCTATCATTATGTTATGGTACAACTTTACAACTTGAAGTTGTACCATCACATAAAGGTACAAGTTCAAGTTGTACCACAAAAGAATTTGTACAAAAAGTATAGGTACAATCTAAAGATGTACCATAACGTAAATGTACATTTTTAAGCTGTACCATAAAGGCAAAAACCTATAGCACCAATACTATATAGCATTGTAAAATTTCTCCTTAGTTAAAGGTAAACATAAAGTAATTGATGTATTTTGAATGGAAAATGGAAACTTTACTTTTAGAATTGATTGGAGATGAGAGATCATGTAAATCAGACTAAGATAGCTATGTCGAATGAATTTGGGAATGATGGAGGCCTACACGAAGTTGAAGTATGAATGTTTACACAGATGTAGTTGTTCAAATCATTCTCAAACCAATAATGAAGTAGAAAGAAAATGTCGTGTGGGATGAAATTTAATTGAATTTAACAACAACAAAGACCCAAGCATAGTAAATAAAAAAACCTCTTTCTCCAACAAAGACCTAAGAAAGAGGTTTTTCATAATCATATGGTGTTTGTTATTTTTTGAAGATTTACTAATCAAATATTTTGAGTACTTTCTTGGCCTACATAACACTATGTCTAACGAGCCGTTAGGTTTACAATTAATATCCATGGGCTGGGCTTGCGAGTGCTCTTCAGCCCATCAGCACGCAAGATTAGTAACAAAGCCCTAATCGAACCGTCCGGCGGAAGAGAAGAGAGGGCAAAAAAGAAAGTTGACTGACGGTGACGGTAAAACGGAGCGAGACTCCCTCCCGATCAGACGTTCCTCGTTGATGTTGATGGATTGAGGTCCGAGGACTGTAATATCTCCATTCCCTACAGACAGCACAGCGGCCAACCGGCTTGCACATTCATTTCCTCTTCCAGATCTCTCCAATTTATTTCTCTACTCCGGTAAAGCTTGCAATCACTCATCCAAGTCCGAGGAAGAAATCCAATTCGAAATTCGCCAGTTTTTGTTGGGAAGTATCTTGGCGATTAGGGTTTCTGATATCTATCTGCCCGGAGTAGTATTCATCACCTTCCTCCCTCACTTCCTCCCCTGTTTCTGCCCGGTAAACCGCTAGAGGACGCGAGGTAGCTGACAGACGAACGAGTTCTGCTAGGGGTTTTTGCAGGAACCCATTGCCATGGCTGACGCTTCCAACGGTCGCGTTACTATTACTCTTGGTCCTGGTGGTCAGGTATGTATACCTCTTTCGACATCTGTTCTCGAGTTGTTGCCAGTTCTTTTTCTGCTTCCCGGATGGCGTTGGGTCCTTCGGCAGCTGTATCTGCTAATTTCATTTGCTTTTGAACCTAAGATTTTTTGCGTTCTGCAAGTTAAGCTGACTTCGAAGGTGGCGACCTGACAACAGGTAGTGAAGCGTGCTGTGTCGGCTGTTGGCAATTCAGATTCGCTGCTAGGTGTTGGAGGGAAGCGCTCTGTGAGGGATCGATTAGGAGGTGACTCGGAGGGTTCCAAACGGTATGTTTGGCATCTGCCTTCCCTTTTGCTAGTCTTTGAGTTTGATAATGAGTTTTCTTTTGTTTTAACTTTGTGGCCTCTGGATTCGGCTGCTGCATTTGTGCTTAATGTGACTCTGTTACTTCTTTGATTCGCATTGGTTAGTTCATAGAGAATTTGCTTTGCAACTGATTGATAATCCCTGGCTCCCTCATTCAGGCATCGAAGCGATAATTATTTGACTGCTGCGAACGCTGCTGGTGTTAGAGGTGATGACCTTTCCTTCCATAAGCTGCGATATTTTGATTTTCTTTCTCTTGGAATATTTATGGATCACTGACCTGGTGCCTTTCAATAACTAAAGATGCACGTATTGGCAAGGGTGATCTACGATTCAAACTCCTGCAAAAGAATGCGGGTAGAAGAGCTCAAAGTGATGATGACCAGAGGGATTTGCGAGATAAGCTCCCACGGACAACGCAATCATTTAGTCGCCTTCCTGCAAGTCTTGGTACTGGGGAGCGCATGTCAGATCCCCGAGAGACTAGTCTTATGGGCAGAATCCCTTCTTCAGGAAGCCCCAGTGAATTGTCCCGGATGGAATCATCAAGAAATTCATATTCACCTTGGACTTTGGACCATATAAGACGAAGATCTCCTGGTAGGATCATAACTGCTTCAACAGTCCCTGATAGGGTTATGCGTACGTCTAGAGGGTTTTCCCCACCAAGACACGAGGATGAAGTTCAGGGGAGGTCATTAGGCAGGTATACTGATGATGTTAGACCGGTTTCGTACATGACAAGAGACATTCATGATGCTCCAAGGTCCATGAGTAGCTCCACTCATTTCATGCCAAAACCGGGTTTGCCTACTGTTTCAAGAAAAAGTGCTGCACCGATTTCGGCTCCAGTTGCTCCAGCGATAAGTGTTCTGTCGAAACAAACATATGCAGTATGAGTCTCTTCCTTTCACTTTTACTCATTTGCAATTGGGAGAGAAAATATTTCACACACGTCTGATCATGACATGGCGGCATACATACCATGCTCGGCTTTCTGTGTTGTAGTTGAGTTGTGTGTCTCGATGTCAGAGGACTGAGGATTGTGTGTTCCAGTTAGTATTCCCGCTGTTTATTCATTGAATTATACTGGGTTGTTTACTTCTGGTCACCTGTAGGGGGAAGAACAGCAGACTGTTGAAGGCTTATTGCATTCGCTTGGATTGGAGAAATATGCCATCATTTTCAAAGCTGAGGAGGTATGTCTAACATCCTCTGTAATTAACCCTTCTAGGATGTTGATGGATTATTCATTCCGCACATGCATTCTGTTATTACTCAATATGCCCACGAAGGCTGCATGCAAATTTGATCAGCATCTGTAAGATGTCAACTGGAGTCGCTGCAGTGAATTTTCATGTACGGTTTCATGCTTCATCTAGTATGTTGGTTTGACTGCATTTGTGACTGATGGCAGATGGCAATTTACTGTTAATACTGTTTCCATTATTCAATGACTGATTTACTCTCTAATAGTGAGAGCTGCCGTGTCGGATGCAGTGGACCTTTGATGGGCTTTCACTGAGACAGCCTTATTTGTTCATGCGAAGCCAAGTTGAACATAGGAACTCTACTCATAAATTTTGTAGCTTGAATTTGTTTCACCTGTCTGCATTTTGTGATGAAGTGTCTGGAAGCTTAGCCTGCCTGTTGAGTCAAAATATCTCCTGAAAACATCGTTTTGGTGTTATCTGACAACCAGGTGGACATGCATGCACTGAAGCAGATGGGGGAAAGTGACCTGAAAGAACTTGGGATACCTATGGTATTGTTTTCTTATCTTTAGCTGCCAGATGATATGCAATATGTACTATGTAGTATCAAGTCCCCGTAGCTATTTGAATATTTTGTTTCTGGATCTTAATATTCAAAACTGATAAGAGTCTGAACTTGTATAAGGGGGTAACTGAAGGTTTGTGAATCTCTAGTTATACTGTGTGTGAAGAATTTAGAAGGCTCCCCCCTAGCCACTATCAGTTGACATGAATTTTGTGCATAATGCTAGAATCTAGCATTGATGTCGAGATTATAGAGTGATTGAAACTTCACTGTTAGAGCTGGTGGTGATTTTGCTTGCAGATTATTTTCTGTTTGCAGATGTACTCTAATGTTCAACATGTGTTCTCTTTGGGCTAGTTTAATTAAATTGTTTCCTGTGTGTAGTATTTATCTTTGCTCTGGTGGTAACTTGTTACGCAATATATGTCCGTGGATGGCAGGGGCCTAGGAAGAAGATTCTTCTCTCCCTTCCGCCTCATTCTAAAAGACAACCTCGGTGATGAGATGCACCTTGCAATGTAGCGTGACGGGTTCAACTTTAGTAGCAGAGTCAGAAAACTCGCTCTCGAAACCAAGTTACCAACAGCACCATGCGTTCTTCAAATTTTGCACACTGGACTTGGGGGGTGTTGCTAAAATACTGATGGAAATGAGAGGAAATTACGAGGTTCCAAGATCTTTTGGTTGACATATCTTTCGCCTTTGTACCTTGTTTTTTTTTTTTTTTGGTTTTGGTTTTGGTTTTTGTGATACTGTGAACTAAATGCAGGATTTGCTAAGCTGGCTGTATTTTTATGAAGAGGGTCAAATGTAAAGATGTTCCTAACTGAGTCAGTTTTTCCAGTTATTGCGCAAATTTGTTTTGTACCTCCGATTCCATTAATTCTGCGAGCTGTGTAGTGCCTAGTGTGAACTTCTGTGTTGCCTTTGTAGGTGATTTTATTGACAAAAATCAAGAATTTTTTCGTTGCCTTGTAGCCTCTGGGTGATTCGAGTACTAAATCTTTCCATCAATATGTCAAAATTAGGAACTCGAAGAAAACAAATTGAAGGTTGGTTACAGAGGAAGGGTGGGAGCTCACTAATAGCATATTACAGCTTGAGCAATGAGTTTTCATCATCATAATCTGCTAGTTTGAGTTGGAATGCCATTTAGATACATTGTATCACAACATTTATCTAACTTTAAAAAAAAATTATTTAAAATGTTTAATTTCATATGATATTAAGTGACATCTAAATTATTGGTCCATTTTCTTCCTTATTTATAGAATTAATTGGATCGGACCATATTATAGTTAGATAAGTATGGCCAGGTCTAAAGGTCGGTTTGGTCCGGTGAGGTCCAGTATGTCAAGCTATTCATGACTTGCATATTTAATAATGCAGTCACTTAGTTGTTTGTGGTTGGAAAAAACTGACATGACAAAAAAAGAATTTAGACCGGTGAGGTCCAGTATGTCAAGCTATTCATGACTTGCATATTTAATAATGCGGTCACTTAGTTGTTTGTGGTTGGAAAAAATTGACATGACAAAAAAAGAATTTAGACGACAAAACATAGTGTAAATATGTGGGAAAACATAACCACAACCTTTTACCCAATATTTTATTTCTCTTGACATGAGACACTATACGCACATATCAATGTGAGCGAAAGAATCATAATTGTTGAGCATCTGTCTAAAGTTCATAAACAATCAAATGAATTGATTACACATAATCAATGAAGACTTTAGGGTTTCTAATATGTAATCGGTATTAATTAGCGCATGAAACAACAAAAGGGGATTTCAAAGAAGATGAAATTAAACAATCAATTACAAGATGATACACAACATAGATCAATATATGAATTTTTTCAAGCTGTGATACTTAATATAAGATTTAAAAGAAGATAGAAATTGAATTATCAATTATTATATTCTAGACATTCAAACAGTAAACTTTATGACTTGCAACAAAAGACATCAATTACTAATCAGTAATCACACATGCTTTACCATGCGTCGGTTGAGAACTCAGCCACTACTTCGCAATCAAGAAAAAATGTAATTTTATTTCCAAATATTCATTTATATTTTCTTTGTTTATCATGTTTGCTTTGCTTGAAATATATGGACATCCAACCTATAACATACAACTCTACATGTTTATATTAGACCATGATGATGATGACTTGAAAACCATAATATGAGAATATGAGTACAAAGAATAAGAAAGGATTGAAGCACATGTAATGAAACTATGTAGGTCGACTCATTGAAGCATATCTATACATGAAAGAAACAAGATGAAACAAAGATATGCAGACACACGAAAAGGAAGGGCAACAAATGAAAAGAATAACACAACATATTTTTATAGGAGTACTACAGAGGGGAAGAAAATCCAATTTTTCTACCCATCATCCTCTTTGCCAGTTAATCCGATGAAATAAGTTTCCAAATACTAGTTATCCAATATAAATTATATCAAAACTTAAAATAAAAAAGAATGACAATAGGTGTGGGTGGACCCGATTTTTCTATTAAAATATCAACCATCCACATAACAAAAAGTAGGTAGGGATGTTATATGAGTATGACAATGATATATAAATTTTTTGATATAAAGTAAATTTTCTCTTACAATCTCAATCCTACAGGTAAGTTTGTTAAGACATTATTCATAAAAATAAGTAAAAATGAGCAAATTTGGGCTTAAGAGATAATTATAATATTTGAGAGATATAAATGATTGATGCTTAGGTTAGGTGGGTGCAGATGCTTAAAATATCAAAATCCCACCAAACTCATACCTTCTATGTCGAGTTCGGGAAAAATCACCCAAAAATAATACCAGTTGGATTTTTTCCGATCAAATCAATTCAAATTTGGTGGGTACTCATGATGTTGAGTTATTTCGTTATCCCTAAATAAAAGGTATCACATTTCTTACTTGGTTATAGTTTCATCAACTTCACAAACCACTAGTATAGTGCCATAAGTAAATGAGTCATGGAAGGGCAAGAATACCAAATACCCTAAGGTTGGTTACCACCAATACATTCTAAAGTTGAGAGGTCAAAAATTGGCAGGGCAGACAAACAAAATAGTTCATTTTATTGAAAAAAATAAAGTTCAAAATTCAAATATACAAAGCCTCGCGGATACGCACGTGGTGGTATAGGGTCAACATTGTTTGGACCCAAAACCATCCCAACATTATCAGGAGCCATGTATGGTCTGGCTTGTGGAATGTTTTGTAGAGCAAAACCTTGCACAGGTGGTGGTTCCTCAACATGGACCTGAGATAAAGTGACGTGACTCTCGCCAACATTCACCCTCTGAGGCGTTGGTACGATGGTTGCCGCCCATGTAGGATTTCTCGGTCGTGGCTGGTCACCTCGACGACCACTGTTGAATGGTAGGTTAACATTTTCACTTTCATGATTTGGAAAGTCTTGACCAGCTGAAGATAAAATCCTAGTTTGTAAAATTGGTCTGTTCAACAATTGCCTAAACTTACCCAAATCATTCGTATTTTTGTTCACCATCTCAAATAATTGAGCAAAACATCTATCATAACACAAACTCAAACCATCAATGCGCTCATCCAAAGAAGCAAGACGAAGGTTACCTGCTGGTAGTTTCTGTTCAACCCAACCACCTGTTGGCGAGTCTCCTCCACCATTTGGCTAACTGATGGTGCTGCTTTACTAGGATCTGCATTAGGCACCATGGTTGGCGCATCTCCTCTAGCATTGTTTCCTCCTACTTGGTCAACATCAACGTTAACCAACCGCTCCTCCTCCATAGAATATTGCAAAGGATCACCATCTTGAATCCTTCGTCGCGGAGTCATATCAAACACACGTTGTCCAACCAGGTGTGCCAATATGTTTTTGGTGGAATTTCGCGTGATCAGTGCACCCGGACTTCAAGAAAACAAAAAACGATGTTACTCGGTTCACACCTCTTCAAATACTGTTCGAACGAGGGTGTTCGATGCATACATCAAATGAGGGTGGACGAGACTGTTTGTGATTTGATTTGTTTGTCCCTCTTCCAAAGCCTTGCAGCAAGTTTTGTTGTGCATCACCCTCTAACCGCCTTGTCTCTCTTTCCGAAAATTAGCTCCACATAGCATCCTCTACCTCTTCTCCGAGCGTCATTTGCAAGTCAGTTGATGCTTCCAGTAGCCACCTTCGACACGTCATCATGTCACTAGACAATCAAACCTGCGTACAATGGATGGGCAATTGGATGGTCACCTTACACCAAATAACTTGGATGATATCCATGTGACTAAGACAACACTCCATGGATGGTAACCATCTTAGATGGTCACCATAACATAACATGGATGCTAACCATCCTAGATGGTCACCATACCATAACATGGATGACACTATCCATTTAATAGTTGAGATAGTGTCCATGATATGGGATGATACCATCCTTTTGGGGTTGGATGGTATCCATGTTACCGGATGGCACTATCCAGTATCCACTTTGAGTTGGGATAGTGTCCATGATCTTGGATGACACCATCCAATTAGAGGTTGGATGGTGGTCATGATTAATGGGATGATACCATCCATAATAGGGTTTGGATGGTATCTATGATGTTGGACACTACCATCCATTTGTAGGATTGGATGATGTCCATGGTTGGTACATTAACATTCTTGGATGGTTACCTCATACCGAGCTACCATCCACCAAACCTACGACCCAACTTGATTAATTGGATCATCCATGTACACATGGACCAACTACTTAGAGTGGCCAAGTTGATCATATATGTAATAATTAATGAAAATTATTTTGGTGTAAACACGGGGTCACTGGGTCGGTTCAAATCAAGTCACTAGTTTTTGAATATTATATTTTGGTGCATAAATTTATTTTTCTTATAATTTAGTACCTAAACTTTATTTTTTACAAATAGGTCTAAATTTTTTTGTGGTATAATTATGTTTTATTACCTTTGTTATAAACGTGCTCCTACGGATCGGGAAATCACCGGAATTGACAAAGCAAGAATACGAAAGCGAGAATCGAAAAACACAGACACACGATTTACGTGGTTCACTAACACGATGTGTGTTAGCTACGTCCACGGGCGAGAGAGAGAGCCAGTTTCACTATATCGAGGAGATTACAGATTACAGAGGAGTATGAGAAGTATTTATAGTACTTCTCCATGTGGGTCTAAACCTAATCCAATCTGGCAAAGGAAACGGTTACAGATCAGGCCCAGAACCCGAACCCAAATAACATTGAGCTCATACACCGTGGGCGGGTGATAGTCCGATTCAAGTCACATCAACAACCTTTATATTTTTTAACCTAGCATTAGAGTGACTAAACTTTTATAACTTTACAAACAGGTCTAATGTGTTGGTATGAAGAATTTATTATTAGCTGTTGTTATGACCACAGGGTAAAAAAGTGATCCACTCTAAAATGATCTGATCCTACCCGAACTTTATAGGTTCAAAAGATGATCGGAATCTAAACTGACACTATAGACAAACTGATTCAGCTCAATCCTCAGGTTGGAACAGTCAGTGGGTCTCTAATGTCAAGCTTACTCCCCTATCAACATGAACCGTGTACCTATAAGTTCTATAATCGTATTTCTTTTTCCAAGAACTAATAGGGGGGAAATCAATTATGTGTAAACCGAGTCAATTCAGAGCAGTTCCTAATGGCACGATGAGACAAAAACTAATCCTACTATGCTTACCTTATGAAGTGCACCTAGACGAAAAGTAAAACTGAACAGCCATAGATCCTATCTGTAACCTACATATTTGTTAGTCTCATCAAATTACTTTCAATATTCTTCTTCCATTGCTCAAGAGCTCTAAAATAAACTCATGCCGCTTTGTTTTTTGGTCAAACTTGGCATTCCAAGATCAGTGGGCTTTTCTTATGTTACAGTTTCCGTTAAGTTATATATTGTGGAACACCCCCAAGG